GGCTGATCCCAGGCTTGAAAATACTGTGCTGTGCTGAGTTCTCCCCTTCCTTCCTTTTTTCTCCTTTCCCCTTTCTCTCCTTACAAACTCCCTCCCCTATCGCTATCCCTGGGCGCATTCCTAATGTTTAAATCACAACATCTCTCAACCAAAATTATTTCCATCTGCACAAAACAATGTAATGCAAAGAGCCAAGAACATTTTTATTTCTCCAAACAGGGAACTCCAGGGGAAAGATGGAATTCAAGCTTTCTCCTTGCTTCCCATGAATCCCTGCTTCTAGAGAAGTGGTACCAAGGATGCCCAGCCGTGATGTAATTGATGTCAATTGATGTCACTCTTTCACTGGTGACATTGACAAAGGCATAGTCAGTATCCACGTGGCGAATGAGCATACAACATGCGGTGAGACAGCCTGTGTGTTGATATGTCATTGGCTTTGCTTCAAGGGCATAATCATAATCAGAGTTGGATGGGTACTTTGAGCTCTTTGATGAAGGGACAGCAATGAAAATATGAGGCCCAGAATGCTGGCAAACTAAGCAGCGTCGCACAGTTGGTGACATAACAGGCCAACATACCAGGCCAACTGATCCCAGCCCAGGAGTCAACACATTATAGAGTATGCAGGGGCACTGGGATCAGTCTTTGGAGTCAAGGCAGACCAGCATTTGATTTCTGTTAGTCACAACTAACAGTATGACTTTGAGCAAGTTATTTTTTTCTATCTAAATTTCAGTTTCCTCCTTTTAAAATTAAGGAATCATAATTATCATCCTGCAACATTGTTGGGATTGAATGAGATATTATATGTAAAAGAAATTCCCAGAAATAAAAAATATAATTTGTTTTGCAATTGCAACGAAAAGAATAAAATACCTAGGAATAAACTTAACCAAGGATGTGAAAGACCTACACACTGAAAACTATAAGACATGTTTAAAGACACACAGAAATGGAAAGACATTCCATGTTCATAGTTTAGAAGAATCAACATAGTTAAAATGGCCATATTACCCAAAGCAATATACAGATTTAATGCAACCCTCCTCAAAATCCCCATAGCATTTTTTAAAGAAACAATATGAAAAATCTTTAGATTTGTATGGAACCACAAAAGATCCTGAATAGCCAAAACAATCCTAAGAAAAAAGAACAATGCTGGAGGTATCATACTCCCTGACTTCAGCTTGTACTACAGGGCAACAATAATCAAAACAGCATGGTATTGGCAGAAAAACAGACACACAGACAAATGGAATAGAATCAAGAACCCAGAAATAAACCCACATAAATATGGACAGATAATTTTTGACAAAGGAACCAAAAACATACAATGGAGAAAAGACAGCCTCTTCAATAAATGGTGCTGGGAAAATTGGAAAGCCACATGCAAAAGAATGAAATTAGACTGCTATCTGTCACTATGTACCAAAATTAATTCAAGCTGGATCAAAGATCTAAACATAAGACCTGAAATAATAAACTGCATAGAAGAAAATATAGATATCAAACTTATAGACCTTGGGTTCAAAGAAGATTTTATAAATTTGACTTCAAAGGCAAGGGAAGTAAAAGCTAAAATAAACTACTATATCCAACTAAAAAGCTTCTGCATAGCAAAAGAAACCATTGACAAAATAAAGAGGAAAACAACCAAATGGGAGAAGATTTTTGTAAACAACACCTCCAATAAGGGGTTAATATACAAAATATATAAGGAACTCATGCAATTCAACAACAAAAAAACAAACAATCTCATTAAAAAATGGGCAGAGGACCTGAATAGATGTTTCTCCTAAGAGGACATACAAATGGCCAATAGACATATGAAAAGATTCTCAACATCACTAATCATCAGAGAAATGCAAATAAAAACCACAATGCGATATCACCTCACACCAATTAGAATGGCTATCATCAACAAGACAAATAATAACAAGTGTTGGAGAGGCTGTGGAGAAAAAGAAACCCTCATATGCTGCTGGTGGGAATGCAGATTGATGCAGCCACTTTGGAAGGGAGTGTGGAGATTCCTCAAAAAATCAAAAATAGAAATACTATATGGGGCCGGCTGAGTGGTGCGTTGGTTAAGAACTGGCTTGGGATGCCAGAGGGCCCTGGTTCGGATCCCACACATGAGGGCCAGTGACACTGCCCTTTACAGCTAAGATGCTGACAACAGCTCAACCTGGAGCTGGGCTGCTGTGAGTCGCTGGCGACTCAATAGGCTGCAGCCCCTGCTGCAGTGGGTTGCCATGGGCTACCAGGTGTAGCCAGCAGCCAGCGTGAGCGGCCATCCAGAGGCCAGCGACTGATCTGCCTCGCCCGGGAAGAGCACAATGATGGTACCAACTTGGGCCAGTGAAGCAACGTCCTCCACAACTAGACTGAAGAACAAAACCGACAGCAACTTGTCTGTTCCCCTTCCCCCAATTCCTCAGCGCTGTTCCCATCCCCCAATACCCCAATTAGAAAAAAAAAGAAAGAAATACCATATGACCCAGCAATCCCTCTCTTGATTATCTACCCCAAAAACCTGAAAACATTTATCCATAAAGACATATGTGCTCCCATGTTCATTGCAGCTTTATTTATGGTGGCCAAGACATGGAAACAACGAACGTGTCCTTTGATAGATGATTGGATAAAGAAGTTGTGGTATGTACACACAATGGAACACTATGCTACCATAAGAAAAGATGAAATAGTGCCATTTGCGACAACATGGATGGATCTTGAGATTATAATGCTAAGCGAAATAAGTCAGAAAATGCAGAGAACCATATGATTTCAATGATATGTGGTATATAAAACTGAAAACAGCAAAAGAACAAGAAAAACAAATGAAGAAACAAAACTCATAGACACAGACAATAGTTTAGTCGTTACCAGAGGGTCAGAGGGGAGGCGAGTAGTAGATGAGGGTAAACGGGGTCAAATACATGGTGATAGAAGGAGAACTGACTCTGGGTGGTGAACACACAATGTGATATATGGATGATGTATTACAGAATTGTACACCTGAAATCTATGTAACTTTGTTAACAATTGTCACCCCAATAAACTTCAATTAAAAAAGAAAAATTCCCAATAAATGTTAAGTATTATCATGTAATATAAACCGTTCAGTTGTGTTTTGGCTAAGAGGCAGCAGAGCTAAAGAGCACTTTCATGATAGGGAAGCACAATTAGCAAAATCATGGAATAAATCATACGATATTTCAAATGAATGGCTGATGGCTTTTTTCTTTTTTTGCAACAGGCATTCCACTGCTATGTTGTCTACAGGACACTGGAGACAATAAAGGAAACCGTGCTTCCATTTCATAGGTATGCTTACTTCTCACAAGTCTAATATTTGGTGTCTATGCCAGTTTTTGGTTGCTTTCAAGTTTTTATATTATAGGTGGCATCTGCAGCACAAAAAGCTTTCCTAGGCACCTGTCAAAAACATTAAGCTTCTTCCTCAAAGAGCTTTGTAAGGCTTCTAGGAAAATATCAACAACAACAAAAAATCCTAGAATAGGTGGGCTGAGTGGATGGGTATGTGAATGGATGCACAGATGAATGGATGGATGGATGGATGGATGGATGGATGGATGGATGGATGGACAGACAGATGGGAAGTCCATATATCTGTCTTCCTGGTTTATAGATATTTTTTCCAAAGAAACACAATCTTGAAGTAGTTTTCTCTCTCCTTCTTTTTGGTTAGGTCTCTAGATGATGACAATGGGCTATTGATAGCATTCTAGTTCCTAGGTAAGTAGAGATCAGCACAAGCTTTTTATAAAGTACTTAGAGCAATAACTAGTGATATCTGATCAAAGATCAAATATAAACATACTAAAGACTATTTCCAGAGTAGTCAAAAGCTGTCCTAAAAAAAAAAATCCAAGGAAATACATTCCAAGAAATTATTTTCCCTAAATCAAGCAAAACATGTCCTATGCAGCAATTGAATTATAAATTAACCATTTCTGCATATCTGAAGTTCAGCTAGGTTTTCTAAATAAAGGAACCAATAATACCTCCATAGCGTGCAAAAGGGGAAAAATAGAGAAATAACCTCCTTTGTTGAATGCTTACTATGTATCAAGCACTGTGCTACATGCTTTTTATGTAAAATCTTACTTAATTTTTGAAAAGATCCCGTGAGGTCAACATTATCCACCCCATTTTGCAGGTGAGGAAACAGACTCAGAAAACTTAAGTAACTAGCCAAGGCCACTCAATGATTACCTAGCAGAGCTGGTTCAAACCCAGTTATACTAGTAAAGATAAAGATTAAAATTATGTACTTTCGCATCTAAAGGTGATCTAAGAAGATAAAACTTATTAGCCACTACCTCCTTCTCCCTAAACAATTTTAATATAAATGAAAACATGCGCAAGGTGCTTTGGTGGCCAGATACCAGTCAGCAGGGTCTCAGAGTGGCCATTCAAAGTAGCCTGCTTATTTTTAAGGGTTGTTGGGTGGCTGTGCAGGAGAGCCTGCTGAGTGCCACCCTGTTGATGACAACTACATCGTGGATGAATAAGCAAATCTTCCTGAAGATCGTTGGCTTGTACAAATGTGTGGGAGAAGCCAGGCTTTTGTTTCCACATCTGGCACTAAGGAATCCTTCCTACCATCCCCAGGAAGACATTGGGGGGATATGGATGGGTGGGCAGCCAGGGAATTATTTTAAGGGCAGTCACTGCAGGAACTCAAGGCTGGGCTAGCGCTGTTCTCAATGAGTCAAGAGTCAACTGTGGCAGAGTTGGTTTTTAATTTCTTTCCTGCTATCTTGTTGTTGTTGTTGCTAGGCAGCTAGATGCCAAGGGTAGTTCTATGGCAGAACACAAGGAGAATGAAAGCCCGGGGATTTCCCCAGGGATACCAGTGTTCATTTCAGCTTGGGGCAAGAGTAAACATCTGTCCTGAGAAGTTTGGGAACTTCCTGTTGGCTCATATTTCAAACAGAGCTGGTACTTTAATCCTTACCCTGGTACTCAGAGCTCAGAGTGGGTAGGGGTGAGTTCAGGGGACCCAGAGGCAGAGCACTTTGCAGAGGACTGTACCAGTGATCTCCTGGCCTCCAGTAAGTACTGTTTGTTGTGACTTGTATGGGTTCTCAAGGCTGTAGTGACCTGGAAGCTTAACTAAGCAAAACTGCTGGTATGGGCTCTTCCTTCATAACCTTCCTTCATGGGCTGTACAGTCAGAGGGAAATAGGACCTCTTGGTACCACAGTCATCAAATCTCAAATGACATTATAATGATCACCAGGTTAGGCAACAATGATAGTGGGTAGATTCTCCTGAATGAAATCAAAGAGCTAAATCTGAAAGGCTTTTTTGTTTGGGGGGCAATGACAAGAAGTGCAAGCCGAACTATGAAAAGATTTCATTCTTCTTTCTTAGCTAGAAGGAAGAGCAAAGTGGTTCAAATACCAACTCTCAAGTTAGAATTCTGACTCTGCTTTTTTTTAATGATGCGATCAAAGATGAATTGCTTAATGTCTCTGGTAAGTTTCCTTATCTGTAAAATGGGTATTGTATCATTATAAAAATAGCGTAAGCTTTATAGTATTGTTACATATGTATAAATCTAATGAGATTATATATATGTATATGTTTGCTTATATGATATAAGTAAACTTTATATAACAGATTTCATATGTGTATATATTTCATATATATGTAGACATATAATGCATTTCATATATAATGTAAAATTTATATAGATAACATGAAGTATATTATATATATGAAATCCAGTGTATGTCTATATATATATGAAATTCATTTTATATATATATATATGTATATATATATATATATATATATATATATGTCAAATGTGTTATATAAATTTTGTGTAGAAGTGCCTGGAATGTATTAAGTACTCAATAAATGCTCGTCATTATCACACAATCATAGAATCATAGAATATCTGAGCTGGAAATGACCTAACAAGTATCGCTTACTAAGCACCTCATAGACACAGAATGCTATTTGCCAGAGTTTCTAAAGCAATGCTGACAGCAATCCTACAAGGGTGGTAATATTATCACTTCCATTTTACAGATGAATAAATGGAGGTATAGAGAGGTGTTATAATGAGCCCAAGATCACATCTCTCATAACTGATGGAGGTGACATTTAAATTCACATTCCAGAGTTAACGCTCTAAACCGCCACCCCCTCCCTACTGCCCCATTTGTCCTCTTTTTACGATGGGTCAGGAAAAGGGGGGTGAGTGGTCCCTACAAGTGACTTTGGAGCCGCCCACAGACATTGGAAGGCCAGACATGTCCTCCGAGTTCCCTTTGCCACCCACAGGATGAGGGAGCGGGATGTTGGCGGGAGTGTCCATGAGTGAGTTTCAGTATGGTGCCAAGCTGGGCTCTGCCAGGGAACCTAGCCTGTCACCTTGCCCTTCCTGGATCAAATGCAGATTTTCACTTGTAAAACAAGCTACCTCATAAGACAGTTCTGAGACACCAAAGCAGAATGTTATGCAAACACATTGTGTAATCTGTAAAGGCTTTATAAATAATTGTTTTATCTAGAAAAAAGAAAGGTTTTTGGCTTTTTAACAAAGAGCTTGCAGTAAACACACTGCTTTAAAATATCCCACCCTTTGCTGATCTCTCCTGCACAGTCCCCTCATCAATCACTCACAAGGCTAAATAGGCCAGGGAGGGGTGGCCAATTCTACATGGATGGAGGGAGGAAAGGGTGAGGGGCTGAAAACCACTGGTCCCTAATTCGACTTCAGGCCGTGAAATCCCTAAAATTGGAAAGAACCTAATGGATTTTATGCAAAACCTCAGGGGTACATTTTTTAAATGTCTATGTGGTTTTTTTGTTTGTTTGTTTTTTGGTTTGTTTTTTTTTTGAGGGTGGGTAAGTTTTAGGTAGGTTCTATTCCTCTTTCTTGTGCAGAATTGCTCTTCCAGGAAATAGAGGGTTTGGCCTCAATGGCCTGGCGCCGTTCTCAGGCATTCGAGCTCATTACACAGAGCTCAGTGTGCCCCTTACCCAAGGTGAGGGCTAAGGGCACAAGTTCTTCAACGTATGCCTTAAGATACCCCAGAGAGGTCTTATTTGTTGTTTCATTTTTTTTGTAGCTATTTGTTCAAATAGTCACTATCATTAGCATACAGGAATACCGTATTTGCCGGCGTATAAGACGACCCCCTAACATTTCCACTCAAAATACAGAGTTTGTCATATACTCGCCGTATAAGACTACCCCCTCTTCCGCACACCTTCCACATACCAAATAAAAGGTAAAACAATATCAGATTTGATTTCAACATTTATATTTATATTCAAATGCTTATGACATGCAGGAAAACTGTCACAAGGCTGTATGTAATCAAACATATACATAAATCGCGATTCGCGATTTTGCGCTATCATACTGGGTGTATGGTCGGCTGTGTGCGATTTTGCGAGTGTGGTAAAATCGCATAACAGCAAAATCGCATAACAGCCGAGCATACACCCAGCAGCGCTGCTGATGCCTGAACGGTATGTGGAATGAAGTGGGCGGGCATCGGGAGGCCACTATGGCACGGGGCAAGCACTATGGGCAGTCTATCTGAAGTGTACCTGGCGTATAAGACGACCCCCCACTTGGAGGCATATTTTTCAGGGCCAAAAAATCGTCTTATACGCCGGCAAATACGGTACCTCAACAGAGAAAACCTGTCTCCGATCAGGGAAGGTGTGAGCTCAGGGCCCAGGAAAACCCCACTGATCCTTCAATAGCTCCCACAAGCTTCCCACAAATCACCAAAAGTAACCTCTGAGAACTTGTGGTCTTAACCTTAAGACTTTCAGCTCTGTTTTTAAAACACAGATATATAAAAATATATATTAAAGAATTGGTGTGAGTCATTTATGCCTGGGGAGGAAAGAATGAGTGTATGCGGAAGAAAAACGAGAAATCGGGACAGGAGGCATGCTGCCAGGCCAGTGGATGGTAAAGTCCCTTTGCCTCCTTTCATTTCACTGGGACTGTCCTGGCGCTGCCCTTTTCAATGCTTCCTTCTATGGCGAGAGTCGTATTAATTCCAGGTCACCACCACATTCCTGTTCTAAAGACCTCACCGGGCCCAGGACTTTTACCCTGTGGGAGTCCCCCTCTCACAGGGTCCCATAATGGTCATGGGACCCCTGGCAGAGCTGTCCAGGAAAGGACTCTCCTCTGAGAGTCAGTGTCACCATGTCAGCCTCAGCCCCCAGAGTCAGGCAGTCTTCGGATCGGGCCACTCGGGTGGTGAGGCAGTTTAAGTACGGGGGTATGCCCTGGTCCTCTTAGATTTCTCTCTAGAGAGAGTAAGTTCACGGCATGGAGAAGGGCTTATCTTGGGCTTCCTCTTGGACAGAAATGCTTTCTCAGCTATATTTGATCCATAGCATGTTGCCCTTTGCCCTGTTCTTCTATTTCCTTCTCCTGTTGCTCTCCCCGGGGGACCTCTTATCAGAGCCATGTAGAACAGGAGCAGACAAACTCCAGGGAAAACAGCTCCTTCCGTCATCCTAGCGACACCTCCACAGAACTGCCACTTGGTGAGAGCACTGCTTGGGGAGGGGCCTGTGAGGGGTAGGGGAGACACGGGGAAGGGGGCAGATAATCCGTCTCATCAACATGCATGGGCACCATCCTGACACTTGAAGACTAAGTGGCTAATCAGGGAAGCATAGTGTTGTTTTGGGGACTAACAGCTCTTAATCCTTTTCTACAGGTGAGAACAGACAGCCACAATGGAACCCAGACCTCAGAAGAGTCCAGGTACCCAAGGGGTGTATTCTCAGGAGGAAAACAACTTCTTATTGAAAATGACGAATGATTCCCATAAAGCTAACAAGGATACAGAGCATGTTTTTAGTAGGGTTAAGGTGTGGCATTCTGGGACAATGATTCTTGGCTTGGAGAATGTATCAGAGATTATTGGATTTGGTTAATTATTTCATAAGAGACCACCTATCTAGAAACTTGGCATTTTTCTGATTTTCATCAGCCAAATGTTCCATTTGTTGCTTGGAGATGATACTAACAACAGACTATAGCCCCAGAAGAGACCGGGGAAGATTTCCTTCATTTTATATGAAATTTGTCACCTGGAGACACTGACTAAATTGTCACTGGGGCTTATTATGGAGGTCGCTCTAGGTGTAGTATTCAGATGTTCTTGCTCATGTTCACATAGTTCATTGCAGGTGAGTGGTTAGAAGAGCTGAGCTTAGGATGAAGTAGTTTAGAAATCAAATCCTCGCTTCAATTCAAAAAATATTTTTGAGCGTTTATTCAACGCACCTGTCAAAGCACAGTCTGTCACTGTGCTTCCTCTTGCAGATGACATACAAGTTAACTAAGAAGAGCCATTGTTCTCAGTGAGTTTATAATTTATCGGGAAGTTAAGATAAACACATACAATCAGGCTACACTGGGAATCATGACATAAGTGCACAGTGCTATGGGAGTGTGAACAAGAAAAAGCCTCCACGTAGCTTTGAGAATCAGAGAGGGTTTACGAAGAAGGCATTTTTAGCTGGATTCTACAAGATGTGAAGCATTTTGAAAGAGATTGGACAAGAGAGCACATCTCAGCAGAAAGGAGTGGCAAGAACAAAAGCAATGAGTGGGTTAGAGCAGGATGTTAAGGGAGAAAGCGGCTATAAGGCAGGGCAGGGGAGAGTAGAGGCTGAGGCTGCAGAAATGGGGGGCTATATTGCACCAGACCTTGACCTCGTATGACCAGCAACCCTTGAAGCATTTTCAGCATGGGAGTGGTGTGATCAGCTCCACATTTTAGATTTGTCCTGTTTTCTGAAATAGCTTTATGGAGGTATAATTGACGTCCAAAACGGGACATACTTAAAGTGTACAGTTTGGTTAGTTTTGAGATGTGTATACGCCTAGGAAATGAGCGTTCGCTATCAAGAGAGTGCACATACACATCGCTCCTGAAAGTTCTCCTGGGCCTGTTTGTGACCCTTGCCTTCAGCATCCCATCCCTATTGCTCTGCTCTCTGTCGCTCTAAGTGTGTTTGTACGATAATCCTTTACTTCAGAGTATAATAGCTCTTTCAGGTTTTTTTAGGAAAAAAAATTAAGGAAAAATAAAATTAATCATTTTAAAGTGAACATTTGGTGGCATTTAATATTAGGTTGGTGCAAATGTAATTGCGGTTTTGGACCGTGAATTTTCAATCATTATAACTAGGCTCAAACACATATTTATTAATCAAAATAGGAACCATTACAATCAACACATGTTTGCCAATGAGAAATAAGTTTGTTTATTCCTGTAGCATAAAAATCAGTGCTTCAGGGTTCGACGAACTCTTCTTGGAAAGCATTTTCTGCATCCTGCTGGTTGTGGAAATGTTTTCCCTGCAAAAAGTTGTCAAGATGCTTGAAGAAGTGGTAGTCGATTGGCGAGAGGTCAGGTGAATATGGCGGATGAGGCAAAACTTCTTAGCCCAATTTGTTCAACTTTTGAAGCGTTGGTTGTGTGACGTGCAGTTGAGCATTGTCATGGAGAAGAATTGGGCCCTTTCTGTTGACCAATGCCGGCTGCAGGTGTTGCAGTTTTTGGTGCATCGCATCGATTTGCTGTGCGTACTTCTCAGATGTAATGGTTTCACTGGGATTCAGAAAGCTGTAGTGGATCAGACTGGCAGCAGACCACCATACAGTGACCATGACCTTTTTTGGTACAAGTTTAGCTTTGGGAAGTGCTTTGGAGCTTCTCCTAGGTCCAGCCACTGAGCTGGTGGTCTCCACTTTTCGTATAAAATCCACTTTTTTGTCACACGTCACAATCCAATTGAGCAATGGTTTGTTGTTGTTGCATAGAATAAGAGAGGATGACCCTTGAAAATGACGATTTTTTTTTATTTGTGATCAGTTCATGAGGCACCCACTTATCGAGCTTTTTCCCCTTGTCAATTTGCTTCAAATGCCGAACGACTGTAGAATGGTTGATGTTGAGTTCTTTGGCAACTTCTCGTGTAGCTGTAAGAGGATAAGCTTCAATGATTGCTCTCAATTGGTCGTTGTCAACTTCCGATGGCCAGCCACTACGTTCCTCATCTTCAAGGCTCTCGTCTCCTTTGCAAAACTTCTTGAACCACCAGTGTGCTGTACATTCATTATCAGTTCCTGGGCCAAATGCATTGATGATGTTGTGAGTTGTCTCTGCTGCTTTACCACCCATTTTGAACCCAAATAAGAAAATTGCTCAAATTTGCTTTTGGTCTAATATCATTTCCATAATCTAAAATACATATAAAATAAACAGCAAGTAACAAGTCATTAGCAAAACAACATAAAGCGAGAAATGCTCATTAAAATGATGTATAACATAGCCACATTTATTTAAGAATGTATTCCAATAGCAAAGGCACATTTCAGCAATTACATTTGCACCAACCTAATACATTCACAGTGTTGTGCAACTATCACTTCTGTCCTGTTCCAAAACATTACCATCACTCCAAAGTAAAAGCCCTTACCCATGAAGCAGTTTCTCCTCCTTCCATTTTTTCCGCCCCCTACCCTTAGTCCCCATCGGCCTCCAGTATACATTCTATCTCTATGGGTTAATCTATTCTAGGTATTTTATATACATGAAGTCACACAATATATGACCTTTTGAGTCTGGCTTCTTTCACTCAGCATAATATTTTTGAAGTTCATTCACATTGTAATATATATCACCACTGCACTCCTTTTTATGGCTGAGTAATACTCCATTGTTTGTATATACCATGATCTGTTTATTCATTTATCTGGTAATGAACATGTGGGCTATTTCTACCCTTTGGCTGTTGTGAATAGTGCCACTATGACCACGTGTATACATGTACTTATTTGAATATCTACTTTCAGTTCTTTGGGTATATACCTAGGGCTGGAATTAAGGGATCATATGGTAATTCTATATTTAACTATAAGAAAACCACCAAAGTATTTTCCACAATGGCTGAAACATTTCACAGTCCACCAGCAGTCTATGAGAGTATCAATGTCTCCGCATTCTCACAAACACTTGCTATTGTCCATTTTTTAAATTACAGCCATCCTAGTGGGCATGAAGTGGTTTCTCGCTGTGGTTTTGATCTGCATTTCCCTAGTGACCAATGATGTCACACGACTTTCCATATGCTTATTGGCCATTTATATATCTTCTTTGGGAAAATGTCTATTCAAGCCCCTTGCCCATTTTTTAAATTAGGTTGTTTATCTTATTTTTATTGCATTATTAGTGTTCTTTATATATTCTAGATGCTAGAATCTTATCAGGTATATGAATTGCAAATATTTTCTCCCATTCTATAGGTTGTCTTTTCACTGTTTTTTTTTTTCACTTTCTTGATAATGTCCTTTGGTACACAAAAGTTTTTAATTTTGGTAAAGCCCAATTTACCTATGTTTTCTTGGCATGCTCATTTTTGATGTCATATCTAAGAATACATTGTCAAGTCCCAGGTCATAAAAATGTACCCCTCTGTTTTTTACTATAAGTTTTATGGCTTTAGCTCTATTATTAAGGTCACTAATTCATTATGAGTTAATTTTTGTATAAAGTGTGATATAGGAATTCAACTTCATTCTTTTGCATATGGATATCCAATTATTTTAGTGCCACTTGTTGAAATGACTGTCCTTTCTCCATTACATTGTCTTTGCATCATTGTTAAAAATCAGTTTTCCATATATGCATGGATTTATATGTAGATTATTTTGTTCTATTGATATATGTGTCTATCTTTATGCCATGTTGTTTTGATTGCTATAGCTTTATAATAGTTTTTTTTTAAGATTTTTATTGGGGAATTGGGGGATGGGAACAGCGCTGGGGAATCGGGGAAAGAGGAACAGACAAGTTGCTGTCCTTTTGTTCTTCAGTCTAGTTGTGGAGGACGTTGCTTCACTGGCTCAGGTTGGCACCATCATTGCGCTCTTCCCGGGCG